TGGTCAGGGTCACAGGACTGTAAATCCATGCCGATGATGCAGACTCACGGACCGGCTAAGATCATTGCCGCCTGGCCTTGACTCCTGCCCCTGGCCCACAAGCCGGGTCACGTCTCGGAGGGCCCACGGCCAATCCCGCTGTACAAGGTCACAAACCGGAAATCGGGATAAATGGTAATTATGCTGTTTATTGGTGTGATAAGATACATTAGCAACATAAATGTGTTATCTATTTATCACAAGTAAACATTATTGTTATCACCATCGTTAGTGCCTCTTAAGTAGAGGGCCCGGGCATTCGGCCAGTGATGCTCAACTGGCCAATTTATATCATAACAAGAGTTCCACGATCTCATACCTTCGCCAAATGGTGTTAACTCTTGCGGGTGACAAATTATACAATTTTAATCATTTATTTTGTGAATATGAGCCTCATTTGCATGGATTATATCAGTTGATCATATTCTCCATCCAATGACAGCCTTATCATAACAAAAAGGCTATTATAGCACTTCCTCATAAATTATGCAAATGGGGTCATGATTTGAATAAATTATGTTTATTGATCTTCACTTCACTTCACTTAACTTCCAAATGTGGCAAGTATGAAATTGGGTGCAGCAGTGACAACTATGGAATTATAAGAATTTGCCATTAATTATGCAAATTAGGTTCTCATTTACATAATCTATATCTTCAGATGTTTTTCTTGTTCTCAAGTAGATGTCACAAGTGTTTAATAGTTCTATTATCGAACAAAGCAGATTGATAGAATTTCCTCATTAATTATGCAAATTAGCTCCTGATTTGCATAATTGCCATCTGATTATGTCAAGCATCACTTCAACTACATACATGCCAAAAATCACGACAATACGTCAACCGGATCTTGAGTTATCGTCCTTCAATTTTTTTTCAACAAATGCTCCTGCAGTTCCAGAACAAGGCGCTAGGGGACCCAATCTCATGTCACTTCTTCCCTACCCCCAAAGCTATCTACCAACCAAAATCCGTGACCCTAGCATGTCCAGAACATGAGATATCAAAACCGGAAGTTCAGCTGCAGTACCTAGGAAAGCCGCCAGGGGGCCCAAAATCTAATCATTTCTAGGTCTCATGAAGACCTACCCACCTACCAAGTTTCATTCCAATCCATCCACTGCTTCTCGAGTTATCTTGCTAAATTACAC